GGGGGTGTACCGTGGGCTTGAAGGGGAATAGCTGGGTGAGGTCGGGGAGTAGCTGGGTGAAGTTGGAGAATAGCTTGGGGAGGTGGGGCTGTAGTTAGGGCTGGTTGGTGTATAGTTGGGACTAGTAGGTGAGTAGCTAGGTGACGTTGGGCTGTAGCTGGGTGACGTCGGGGTATAGTTGGGACTGGTCGGAGAGTAGTTAGGGCTGGTGGGCGAGTAACTCGGGGAAGTTGGGGAATAGCTTGGAGATGTAGGTGAGTAACTTGGAGATGTTGGGGAGTAGCTGGGAGAAGTAGGAGAATAGCTGGGGGATGTTGGAGAGTAGCTGGGGGATGTTGGGGAGTAGCTGGGGGATGTTGGAGAATAGCTGGGAGAAGTTGGAGAGTAGCTAGGTGAGGTTGGGGAGTAGCTGGGGGAGGTCGGCGAGTAGCTCGGGGAGGTCGGCGAGTAACTTGGAGAAGTTGGAGAGTAGCTGGGGGAGGTTGGTGAGTAACTGGGAGAAGTCGGCAAGTAGCTGGGTGATGTTGGGCTATAGTTGGGACTAGTCGGGAGAGTAGGATGGAGAAGTGGGGGAGTAGGAAGGTGAAGTGGGAAGGCTGTGTGTCTTGACGGTTCAAGTCCACCAGAAGCTCTGCTAGAGTAAGATGAGCAGTCTTCTCCCCTTTCGATATACAACCCTGGAAACCCAGAGGAAAGCTGCTGTGTTTCAGAACCAACCCAATGGCTGTTAAGTTTAAGTTTTGTGGTGTTTTGTTTGCTCGTTTGTTTTAGTAGTAAGCCTTGATTGCCTAAAACATACTATTAGAATTACTGACAACAAATAGGTGGTTCTGGTGAGGGCTTAAAAGAAGTGAGGAGAGTAATAGAAGTCTGTCATCTTAAATGCATAGGATACCACAAACAGAATGCTGCTAGAAGTATGGACATCAAAAAAAAATGTGCAAACCAGTTTAAAGCCAAAATAGCACTTCTCTGAACAATGTGCAAATATTTGGTCAAAGGAAGAACTTATAGATAGTAAACTTAGATATTTAATTAAGGAGGTTTCTAACCCAGATCGTAAAGATGCCACGTGATTTCTCCTTGTTGCTTATAAAATGTAAGATGAAAAAGATTGCCTTAAAAAGAAAATGTTTCACCGTTTTAAGTGAAACATATATTTTAAGTTTCTTTGTTTGAGATAGAAAAAGAGGTTAGGCAAGCAAGTTAGGAGCAGAAGTGGGAGAAGATTGATGCCAACTCACATGGAGATCTCTAAGTGACAAGGGGGCAGCAACTGAAGAAGCTTGAACCTTCCCTCAGAGCTCAAGGAGCAAGAACCATCCCACAGAGCGGACACAAAAAGTCTTCTACTAGAGCCAACCCTTCATATCCAGACCACTATCCTTAAAACTTCTGTTTGTTAAAACCTTCACTTGTGGCACTTCTGATATGTCACCATTAGATAACTAAGCCAGGTACATTCATGCGCAGTTAACCAGTCAAAAACCAATGGCATTGAGTCACTTCCAACTCATAGCAGCTCTCCATCAGGTTTGTGAGGCTATAAATCTTTGGGAAAGATACCACAGTCTTTCACCCCTGGAGAGACCAGGGGACCAAACTGCTGAACTTCAGGTTAGCATCTTGATAAGTTAGGCATTATACCACCCATACTCAATTGTGTATCTCTTGCAAAGCTTGTTTGGGAACACATAGCTTAGACTCAGGAGTCAGACAATTCCTCCAAGTTCAGATTTAAATATTAGTGTCTAACTATCCTATTTTCAGGAACACAATAGATGAATCCTGATTCATTCATACATACATACATGTTGGGAGAAAAATAAAACAACTTTAAAATTCTGAAAGAATATAGACTCACTGAATCTACTTGAATCCCTGATACTAGACCCTGAGTTGTTCTTCAGATCTTAAATTTAACTTATACTCTGAAGTCACCTTTAAGTAGCAGTTTTGCACAAAAAATAAAGATTGTCACCATTAAATAATTGCATTCCTTTTAAAAGAAATATGTATATGTATATGTATATATATACACATGGGAGTGGTGTATATCAATACAACCAGCAAATGGTCAACAACTATTTTAAAGCATAGACAACAGAATTGACATGCAAGGAGATTTAAGGAAATGGAAGTGAAATAAGTAGAACAAAATAGCAAGAATGTTGACATCGTGTGAAGAGTTTAACCGGTGTCATTGATCTAGCTAGAAATGAGGAGTGGACATTGCAATCTTTCTGTATTTCAAACAAAATTAAATTTTTTTGAGAACTGCATTGAAGAGTACTTGTGTCAAATAAGACAAAACAGGCTCATAAAACACCCATTACTAGCAATACCAAACCGTTGTTTATACTATGTAAGAAAAGAACTTCTACCCTGTCAGAACCTAGGAATAAGTGTAATTTAATGGGTCACTGCATGTTGTGATGAACTGGGTGATTATGAGTTCATATCTGATCCTGTGACATATCAAATGGACAAAAAAAATAAGCAAAAGTATAAAGACACTAAAACCATACTAAGGTATTTCATTTTCTTTACAGACTATGTATCCTGAGCATGTAACTATTCTGTTTACTCAAGTATTCACTTAAATTGATCATCAAAAAAATCCCTCAGTAGCACTCTTGAAAGTGAAAATAGAAGCAACATTCTAGGGTCATAATGAAATAAACATAGACATTAATAAGAGAGACGATAAGGACATTTTATTTGGAAATTTACAATTTCTTGAGCAGCTTGAGTCAGGAGAGATTAAAAAAATATCAAATTTCTAGAAAATATGAATAATGAAAATACTACTTCAGTGTATCCTGAAGAATATATAGATAAAACACTGCTAAAGAATATACCTAGCTTTACCATATTTAATAAAAAATTACTGACTTCAAGTGAAGTAATTGTGAATCATAGATTAGCAGAGCAAAATAAACTTGAATAAAATTAGGACAAAAGGTACTTTTAAAAGCAGCATTAATGAGTTAAAAACTGAAAATAATGGAACTAATAAACCAACAAAAAGTCTTTTTCTAGAGAAGAAAATAAGGCTGATTAATATTAATAAAAATTTTAAAAAGAGATTGGAGAATTCAGGATGCATGATGGAAGAAATAACCAGAGAAGAAAGTCAGTAACAGATAATTCTTGAATAGATCATAAGAACTTGTGAGAAATTGTGAAATGGGCTATTTTCTAAGAAGATAAAATTAATTAGAGAATATCTAAATATACCTAATTTCATGGAAGAAAAAAGAATTGTTAAAACAGTAGGCCCTGAAGGTTTCATAACAGAATTGTACCAAACATTAAAGCAGTTTTTTTAAACCTTTTAAAAAATTTCTTTCTTTTCCATCTGAGTGAAGTTTTAAAAATTATACTGGTTTTTTATACCATCACTCTTAGATGATCTACTTTTATAACATTAATTGCCACTGATTAATTAGTTAACAGAATTTAACTAAACTGTCTAATCAGACACTTTTCTGTACTATATAATTCTATATTATCCCCTTCAAGGAAGCTTTTAAAACTTTTTAAAGGAAAAGGAAGAGGGTAACTTTCCTTTTATTTTAAACACAACATGACCAGAAAGTTAGGTCTCCTGATGAATTGAAAGAGAGTGTATGTCTTTGAAAAGATTCATCCTTGGTTATACAGGCAGAATTGTTTAAGCTCTATAAATGCATTGTCTGGGGAAAAGGAAATAATTTTTCTATTAACATGGAGAGATGTTTGCATCTTTTTTTTTTAAGTGCAAGTACGACTTTTGCTGGATTTGCCTAGAAGAATGGAAAAAGCACAGTTCTTCCACTGGAGGCTATTACAGATGTACTCGCTATGAAGTGATTCAGCATGTGGAAGAGCAATCCAAGGAAATGACTGTGGAGGTAAAAAGAATTGTAGATATCGCTCCCTAAGCCACTTGTTATTAAAAGTGTTAATGTGTTTCTTTCCCTGGCTTCCAGGGAAAATGAATTAATGAAGCACTAAATTGAATGTAGCTTTTATTTATCCATAAAGTAGCTCTTAAACATAAGAGCTAATTTTTTTCCTGGTTTCACTTTGGTGAAGATAAGTTTTACAGACCCCAGCCACTGTAATGAGTTAAAAACATTTTTAATTAGCTGGTCTCTGTAAGAGTTATTTATGGATTTATGTTTCTTAGGCTGAGAAAAAACACAAACGGTTTCAAGAACTTGACAGATTTATGCACTACTACACAAGATTTAAAAACCATGAACATAGCTATCAGGTATGTCCCAAATCATTTCCAGTAAGCTGAATTACAGTATTGTGGATAAATAAAAAAAATTATTTGCATTATTTATTTCTGTCCCTTCAGTTAGAACAGCGCCTTCTTAAAACAGCCAAAGAGAAGATGGAGCAGTTGAGTAGAGCGCTCAAAGAAAGTAAGTTATAACTGACACGTCTGGTAATCACTGTCACGTTCTTCCATACTTAGGTCACTTCACTTCTTAAGATACTAAACTCTTTAAAGGAATACATTATCCTTAGTTTATTCTGTGAGTTCTCTGAAACCTTTGAGTGCAGCTTAGCATAAGAGGCCTCCATGACTAAGGAATCCTCCTGGTATAATGCCTTACATTTGGAACTGCTAATAGCATGGTGGTTCAAATCCACCAGCCACCCCACAGGGCAAGGATGAGACAGCCTCCTCCAGTGGTGATTTACAGCCTCAAAATTCCAATGAAGGTTTACCATGAGTCAGAACTGACTCATAAAAATTCTAGCATTGGAGCTCTGGTGGCCTAGTGGCAAGAAGCTGCAGTACAATCCCAGAGGTATGCGGTTCTAATCCACCAGATGCTCTGCCGGAAAAGGAGCGGAAATCTCCTGTACCAGTCAGATACAATTTGACGATACACATATAAAATAAAAATTTAAAAAAAAAAAATTCTAGCATTGGCAATCAGTTGGATATAGGGAAAGGCAATATGTTAATCACACACTATGGTTCATTTATTATATTAATGTATTTAATTAATGTTATAAATATGTTTAATGAGTAAATTATATTGTAATTACAGTATTATAAAACAAAATGTACATGAAGGGTTAAATGAAACACCCGTGATTTGTAAACTTTCCCTCACATTAAAAAATAAATTCATTTTAAAAAGGAACTTTATAGGGAAATTCTATTCTGTGCTTTTGGGTCACGATGTGTCAGAATTGACTAGATGGCAATGGTTTGTTGTTTTACCTAGGATTTTCCTCTTAGTGAGGTCTGTGCTGTTAACAGATTAACATACGTCATGGTTTTACTTAGTCTATACATCCGTTGATGTTCTACAAGTTCTACAACTTCGGGAAAAGGAGAGCAGCCTTAAAGGATGTTCTTGAGCTAGCCAAAGGAGCAAGAGATACATGCTATCCATTTCTCAAGAAAATGTATCAGAGTACCTTTTGTTGTTGTTAAGTGCATTTAGCCGACTATAACTCTTAAGACCCTATGAACAACAGATCAGCTGACTACAACTCTTACGACCCTACAGATCAGAGTACCCAGTGTAGTAGAAACCAAGTATAGCCTTAGAAAACAATTCTCAGTAGTAAATACTGGGCATTTCCATTTTGAAAGCAAAGCTGTGAGTAAAGACTAACTTGTTGTTGTTGTTGTTGTTGTTGTTGTTGTTGTTATGTGCCGTCGAGTCGTTTCCGACTCATAGCAACCCTGTGCACAACAGCCCTAAACCCTGCTCTATCCTGCGCCAACCGCACCGCCTCTGACACATCCATCCCAATTACCCCAGTCACCGAATCAAGCCATCTCATAGAGGGTCTTCCCCTCCTGCGTTGTCCCTCAACCCTCCCAAGCATGATGTCCCTCTCCAAGGACCCGTCCCTCCTGGAAACATGTCCAAAGTAAATCAGACGAAGCCCCAGAATCCTTGCCTCCAAGGAGTAGCTTGATTTAATCCTCTCCAAGATAAATCTGTTTGTTTTCCTGGCAGTCCAGGGTACATTCAGTACCCTTCTCCAGGACCACAGCTCAAAAGCATCCACTCTCCTTCTGTCCTCCCTAGTCATTGTCCAAGAGATCTTAAACTAGAAAATCTTTTAAAAAGTACTTCTCAAGATGGTCTGAGTATTGGTGACATCATTAGGCTATAATATCCTATACTGACCACAGAGTACAAATATTAAAGGTTATCTATAAAAGGTACTTTTTAAGCCTAAAAATGCCATACTTGTTCATGTTTATTAAAATGATGAATACTGACTTATTGAGAATAATTCCCTAATTAGGACAGTAACCATCAGTTAAAGAATCGAGTTATAGAAAATGTGTCTTCTTGGTAACTACGAGCAACTAAACTTTATTATTGACTACATCTCACTAATAGCAACTGTTGAAGTATTGCCCATAGTAAATATTTAAAGGGGGGGGGAAACCCCAACACTTTAACTGTTCGAATATCATTAGATATTTGGTTTGTCCTTTATGCTTAGAACAGTGTGTAAACATAGAAATCACTCAGTGATTATTTGTAGACGTACATTGTTATTTCTACCCCACATTCTAGGATTTATGAACAGTGCAGTAAGATGTGAAAGAAAATTAAAGATCCAGAGATTGGAAAGGAAGAAATTAAACCATTCACATTTCTCACATGTATCAAATTGATGGGAGCAGAGTATTGATTTTGTTTGTCAGTTTCACATCTGAGTTCAGATGCCTACCCTAGAAACTGACTGAACTCTGAAATGTTGCTATGACCTATTCATCAGTGTTCATAACTACACATGCAGTGCTTTTCTATGGGTATTTAAAATAATCTGATTTTCAGCAGTATTTAGGCATTGTGATCTAGTACAATCTATATATTTGCAATTAAGGAGAAAACAAATGTTAAATTTGGAGACCCAGCAATCTCAGATATTCAAATGTCTTCTCTCTCCCTTCTCATCATTCCTCCTTTATTCTTTGTCTTTCTTTGAAGGATTTTATTAACTAGCATTAGCTATCCAGTTGTTTCCCAATCTGTTGTATCTTTTTCCTTATAAAATTGTTTTGATAGAGGCTTAATTGTAATCAGACTCCTCTTGTGGTTTGTTTTGTTTTGCTTTGTTTTTAGCAAACAACTTAGCCAGGGGTTTTTTGTGAACCCTAAGCAGCATACTTACCCTCAGAAGAACCTGAAAAACTTACTAAAGTTTTTGGAGTCTCTGGGTTGGCCTAAAGTTAGATTTGTTTCCTGGAAGGGTGAAAAGAAATCTAGGATGAGTGTATGCATGCCTTCCCGATTCTGTTAATGGCCTGTGTTTCTTTATGAAAGCACATGTATCATACATATATAGGCTTTATATAGGTTCTTAGTCTAGTTTGAATAATTACTGTCATGTAGCTCCCTCAAAGAATTTTCTTACGCATCCTTTTTCTCCTCTTCCTTCCCCTCCCCTTTTCTTTTTAAAGAACTTACAGCTATTCCATTAATTTCATGTTGTGTTTGCAAAACAAAATTTCACTCTGCCTGAATTACTTTATAGCTGAAGGAGACTGTCCAGATACTACTTTCATTGAAGACGCAGTTCACGTGCTCTTAAAAACTCGGCGTATTCTCAAGTGTTCTTATCCATATGGATTTTTCTTAGAACCTAAAAGCACAAAGAAAGAAATATTTGAACTCATGCAAGTAAGACAATCTTTTTTTTTAAATGAATTTAAATGGTAGTTTGTATGAAAACCAGATTTCTTCCTTTTTCAGTTCCTTTTCTCCTATTAAGGTTCTAATTAGCCAACAATTTTGGTTTGTTTACATTTTCAGAATGGCTTTAAAATTAGGAGACATTACCAGTAATAACTAAAATTTTCTTTGTGTTTCAGTTTATCACTCTGTAGATGTAAGTTCTGCACGAATACAGATATTTCCTACAGCATTTATTTCTTTATTTTAAACTGTTTAAGGTGGAAATTTGCCCTATTCCTGAATATGTAACTAGTAATTTCGTCTTCAAATATTAAACAGGCCACATAAAATACAAAATAGGAAAGTGGCAATTAACTAGTTTATCTTAGAAGTACAACTCTAAAAGGTATTTTAAAAAAAAAAGTTAAACACACTAATTTCATGACTAGAAAACTCTGTTGCCCATTTCCTCTTTGAAGCCACCAGACTTTCTTCCCTGGCTGCAGTTCTTAAGGCATACCTTTGAACTAACTACCCTCTACTAATTCATATCCTGTGTTTCTTTTAGTCTCGATAGTCATTTCTCCATAAAGCCTTCCAGACCCAACCCTCAATCACACTGGTCATGCCCTGCCTCCAATTCCTTCAACATTTGCATGTAGTCTGCACCACACTATCATTTTTTTATCATGGCTTGCGTAATATTAATATCAAGGTTTGCACAATACCTTCACATTTACTGAGATCTTTTTCCAAAGTAGGTAAATTATGCAATTATACAAATTCTTTGTTAATAGCTGATGTGCTCACCATTTCTATGTAATCTATACCAACTACAATGCTATACAAAGCCTATCAGATGAATTCTGAATATTTTACACAATTTAAGATGACGTCACATAACCTGGAGAAACAAAAGTACAAAATAGGAAACATGTTAAATGAGACCTCATCTCAAAAGTTAATTTCTAATGTCAAGAGAGTACTGTTTAACTGAGAAACCACGTGGGCTCTAGGTTACTCGCTAACTCATTCAGTCTGTGATCATGGTTTTCCACCATCTTACCATAGACAGACCTAGAGATGGTCACCGAAGACCTTGCTCAAAAAGTTAATAGGCCTTACCTTCGCACACCCCGCCACAAGATCATCAAGGCTGCGTGCCTCGTGCAGCAGAAGAGGCAAGAGTTCCTGGCGTCAGTGGCTCGGGGAGTGGCTCCTGCAGACTCACCGGAAGCTCCACGGCGCAGGTAAAAAGAATGCGCTGTGGAAATCACATCAACTCCAGCCATGAGTGGTAGCTGCTCTGTTTTTCAAACCAAGTAGAGTTCATATTCACAGAAGTTAGTAACACTTAGGATGTGATATTATAGATATTAGATAGATATAGATAGATATTATAAACTTCTTTTTTGGTGATTGCCCCATCCTATTTCTATTTTTTCTTGGGTTTTTTTTTTGTCATACAGTTCCTCAGACTAAATTAGGCTAGATTAATGTCATAATTCCAGATGAACTCGTAACTTAAATAGTATTCTAATGCTTCAGTTTACATCTGTAAAATCTATAGTGATATGATAGTTATAAACTTTTTCTGGTGTTGAATTTTTAAATCTTACTTGCTTGTTATTGTCATATTTATATTTTTGTGGTAATAGGTCATTAAAACTTTAAAAATCTGATATTTGTAACATTTTTAAGGAATTTGAATTCATTCATTATCATGTTTCGATTGCTTTAGTTCAGATAGTAATCCTGCTGTCCTAAGTTGAAGCATATTTTTTTAGTTATAATAATTAAAGGCATTAAACAAGTTTTTACTTACTTTTTCATAAATATAAAAAATAGAAGCAATCATGAAGTACTGTTATAACATGTTGATTTTTATTTTTCCACCATTTTACACAAACATTAAAAAATTAGAATTTAAAAGAAATAACAAAGTTATCTTAATAGTTGATCTTATTTTGTTTCAACAAGGTCGAAGCAGAGGAATTAAAAATAATGGTTACAGGGCAAAGGTCTGAGTGTTTGTACTTTGTAGTACCGATAATAAGTCAAATGGTTTGTCTGATTTCTTTGTAGCTTTGCTGGTGGAACATGGGATTGGGAATATTTAGGATTTGCATCACCTGAGGTAATTGTTTTTTGGGGGGGTTTTTGTTTGTTGGGTTTGATTATTTTTTTTTCTATCTCTTTCTCTCTTTCTTCAGTGTAATCTTATTTGTATTTGCACCTCATCTGTTTTATATTACAAATCTGTTTGTATTATAATCAGTTATGCTCTTTCTTTTGTAACAAAAAAAATGCCTTTATGGCATTAGGTTATCATCATATTATTAAATGCATACTCCTTATATATTGTTTTTCATTACCAGTCAAATTCAAGCAAATTTTCAGCATTGTTTTGAAAAATATCCTCTAATTTTTCAATCATGATATTAATTATATTTAGTAGAAATAAGCTTTTAGTTGTACTATTGTTTCAATTTGAATCTATTAAAAACCAAAACAAGGAATACAAATAAAGAATAAGGTTATTTTTAAGTTACTTAAACATAAGAGAATTGATTTATAAACAGTTAACAAAGGTAGAAACTGGCCATTAATAATGTTTATGCAGAAAGAAATGCTTTTCTTAATTGCTTTCTGCTTTCCTTTAAAACTTTCACACTATCCTTATTTGGTATTTTTGTTATTGATATGCTATTTTAAAATACAAAAGATTTGACTTACTGACACTGTAGTAGCAGTTACTACAGAAAAATAAGATAGAGTGAAAATCTTAATGACTACTCATTTTTGAGATTTAAATTGCCACTGTCATTATTGAATCCCTTTTTAAATAGTTTTAGCAATTTTCTTTTCTTCTGTCTCCTTTGATTTTTATGACAGTAAACCTTTCAGCACTTAGGTGATGCTAACCCCTTAGCTTAGTTCTTCGAAGGCAGCACAGCAAATTGATGAAACTTTTATTCATATTGCATTTGCTATTTACAGCTGAAAGACAGTGAAATTGATTATTATCAAAAAATGACTGTGGTTTATTTAAATCAGCTCTTTTCTCTTTTCAGCTGCTGAAGATACTTGCAATCACTTTGTGGCCTTTTGCGTTGGTAGATACATTCAAGAGAATGTTGGCAAATCTTAATTAGAGTTTTTGTATGGAAACTTTTCCTAAGTTAATTGCAAGAAATTTTAGTATAATAATGAAATGTTAATTATAAACTTTTTCTTTTTCTCATCTGATACTTTTAGAAGCAGGAGTGGCATCCACTTCCTAAACAGTATGCCTCTGGAAATTCTGAACTTTGAAAAATTATAATTCTAGAAAGGCTTCAGGGTCACTATGAGTCGTGCTTGACTCAACGGCAATTAATAACAACAATCTTAAACTTTTATAACACAATTAAAGGTTGGGGTTTATGTCAGCAAATACTTACCTAAAAAAGAGTAATGACAAAATTCAGTTATTTTAAAAGTATTACACATTTTAGCATTTCAAGGTGGAAACACAGTTTAGCAAAAATAAAATCTTTACTTGTGTAAAGGTTTTATTCCCAGTCACGTGAGTCACGTTGGCAACCACCAGCAGCCAGTGTTTCTGCCTTGACTATCTGAGTACCTACTAATACGACTGTCAAAAATTAATTTTGTAAAGAATGAGAAACTTGCCATCTCACCTGTGGTTAGTTATACATAAAAATGCAGAGCTGTTTTTCTTGAAAGGTATATGGAAGTAGAAGCAATATTTTCTTAAATTTGTTTTTTTATACATTGTTTCATTTTTTAAAAAATTATTTCATTCACTTTTACTTTTCAGAAAGTCTGGCACTTTGAAACACCATTATTATGAACCTAAGGAGTTACCTTAGAGCATCAAATATTCAAATTCTGCAAGTTTAACTACCAAATAGCTACAAAATTATGTTTTTTAAAATGAACTCTTTGCCTTAATATAGAAGTACAAACTTAAATAGACTTTTAGGTTAAATTTTTTTTTTTTCAGTATAGTTAATACCAGCTTATTCTTTTTGTTGTTGTTGAGTATCACTGGTCAGCATAAATATAGGTTTATCCCAGTGGGACCTAGTTTAAAAGCGTCGTCTTAAAGACTAGGCATGGGTAAGATTTACGTTTCCGAGTTTCAGTTCTTTGCCTTGTTAGAATTTGAAGTAGTTGGTCCTTAATGTCCCACTTTTAATATGTGGAAGTTAATAGTAACCTCACAGGAGTTCCACGATCATCTCATTAAGTCCCTGACAATCTTGATGCTCAGAAAGTAGAACCAGAAAGTCCAGGAACTTTTCCTGCAAATTCTAGAGTTTTTCAATATTCTTTGCCATTTTAAAATTCTAAAACTATGCTGAAGTATCCTGATTAAAGCCTTTCCACATGATTACTGAAAGCTCTTCAGAATCTTTGGGAATTTTTAAGCATAATTTATGAGAATAATACCTTTTTTTTAATTGTTTTTCTTATTATTTTTACGTGTACCGTCAAATCAGATCTGACTGGTACAGGAGGAGATTGTCCCCTCCTTCTCCAGCAGAGCCTCTGGTGGATTTGAACCACGTACCTCTGGGATTGCAGTGCAGTGTCTTGCCACTAGGCCACCAGAGCTCCCTGGGAATAATACTTTTAAGCCTTTTGTATCCTGAGAGCATTCCATTTAAGTTTTCTATAAAAATAATTAGAAATACAGCAAGATTCTTTCATAATTGTTTTAAACCCCTCTCTCTCACACACACACATATATATTAGAGTGCTCTGGTGGTATAGTTTGCAGGGAATTGCTCTGCTATGCCATTGCCACATTGCTAGTAGTTCAAATCCAGTGTCTTCGAAGGAGAAAGATGAGCAATCGCCTTCCTGTGATTTACAATCTCCAAAACCAGTGGTGTCTCAGCTATGAGTCAAATCCAACTCAAGAACAATAAGTTTAGTGAGATATAAAAATACAGATGAAAAGTATATGTTCATTGGTCAGTGTTAAATGCAGAACAGATTTGTACTAGCATCAAGTCTAAAGTCCCTGGTGGTACAATTGACTAATAATTAAAAGCTTTATAGTTCAAACCTATCAACCACTCCTCCACTAAAAAAAAAAAAAAAAAATAGTTGCCATCTACTTCCAGTAAGATTTTAAACCATTTTCTAAGCAGTGTGGTCCAATGAGCCATGATGACAGATATAACAAACCATCCAGATAGAGATACTGAATTTTTGGGAAAGAGGGACAATGCCTTGGCATCTAGGTAGAAATACTGGATTTCTGGGAAAGAGGAATGATCCCTTGGCTTAGCATAAAAATGTTAAAAGAACCTGAATAATCAATCCCCCATCACATTTGTATCATCGTAGAATAATTTATTGACCTGGTAGGATACGTCCCACTTTGTATTAGTGTGTAACAGCTTAGGCTATTGCATTCATGTTGGGTTACTAAAGAAGAGGTTGGTAGTTCAAATCCACCAACCACTCCACTCTAGAGAGATGGACGATCTCCTATACAGATTTACAGTTCTGTTAACCTGATAGTTGAGGTGACCATGGAGCAGAGCTGACCCAATGGCAGTGGAGAGGAGGAAGCTTAGGTATTAGTCTCTAACTAGTTACATATAATCAGAGTAACATAATGGAAAATTATGTCAAGTGCTCTTTACTGATTCCCAGTACTTTCAGGGTAATCATATTAAATATTCTTGTTTAAATTTTCTTTTAGAGTCATAAAGATAATCATAATATTTATCACTGAAATTCTGTGCTCTTATCATCAGGGTCTCACTTCTATTCCTTTTCCTTTTGTTACTAAAATCTGGAAACTTACTTTTCCCAGGCTTTAGCCCCTGTTAAAAGCAGGCTCATTTTAGACTATTATCACATAAAATAGACCCAAGGACATCTGCCAAAATATATATTCTTCCAATAAGTAAAATAGAAAACACTTCCCCTGCCTGTATTATAGATAATCAAGTATATACTGGCTTATATATAAAACAGGAAACCAGATAACGTCTTATTCTAAAAGTAACATACCCCATAAAAGGGATCTCTGGTGGCCTACTGGTAAGAAGCTTTGCTGATATCCCAAAGGCACTTGGTTTGAATCTGCCAGTTGCTCTGCAGGAGAAGGATGAGCAATTTCCTGTACAATTTACTGCCTCTGAAAACCTGGAGAGCCAGCTGTGGGTCAGTTCCATCTCCACAGCACACACAACAACAGCACTCCTTAAAGGTAGCACTGGCAGCATAGTGTATAATGTGTCAGGCTGCTAACTGAAAGGTCAGTTCAAGTGCACCAGCTGCCCTGAAAGAATGATGGACAGTCTCCTCCCAGAAAGACACCCAGCCTTGGAGACCTGGTGGAGGGCCACTGTGAGTCGGAGTGGACTCCAGAGCCGTATGTTTGGTTTCAGTTTGCTAATCCTGTACAGTGTGTTTCTTTGTTTTTATTTTTATTCTCCATATCCCATGGTCACTTTTATAAAGCCACATGTCCATGGAGAGTATCATTTATATTCATAAAATGATTAAGTATTACTTAGCGTGCAGGTTTCCACTACTTTTCAAAAAATTCACTTTATGCCACTTTGCTTTATGAGAGACTTACATTCATACCTGTGTTTACGAACCAAAAGAAACCCCAAGAGGGTTTTCAGTTTTAAGATAAAAAGGCTAAAAAATTAAACTAGCATCAGCAACCATTTTGTGCAGCCCATGACTGCACTCGGCAGCAAACTGCCTGCCTTTGAGCCTATGAACATTCTCTGTTAGGTTATTTTAGGTTTTATTTAATTAAGGTTTTATTTAATGTGATTTGTTAGGTTATTTTTTAGTCAGCAAACACTCAAACATTTTCCCCATACATGTTAATGGTAATTTCTTATTCACGTAATGCCTTTTGGGCTTACAAAAAGTTTCCTAGGAAGACTACTTTCAGATAGCAAGGGAAAGGTTTTAGATAACAGGACCTAGGAATCATCAATCCTAAGAAATAAGGCCCATTGTGATCTACCATTGCAAGTATTCACAATTGATGTAGGCATTTGTGATGTCTATTTGATAATTTTCTTTTTGCATTCTACCTTTTTTCTGTTTCCTTGGCATGGCAAAACCAGGGTTTTGTTGTTTTGGGGTTTTTTTCCTTCCTAAAACCATGTGATTTTTATAATATGTATATAAAATCACACTTCTTTTTCTCCTGGGAAAATGTGCATCTAAGAAATTGCATGCCCTGCTGTATTGTATAACCTTTGGTTTATGCAGGAATATGCTGAATTTCAGTATCGGAGGAGGCACAGGCAGCATCGCCGACGCGGAGACTTGCAGACTCTGCTCGGTGGTCCTCTGGACACTGATGAGCCTAGTGAAAGCACTTTAGGTATGATCTTGGCTTACGTATGTGCAACTTACTCACTTTTCTTGAATTTATTGAAAAGCTAGCTAGTTTAAATAATACGTAAAGGGCTTTATAATTTAGATAACCAGTTAAAGTATAAATATATCTATTATCACAGGACCCAGAACACAGGATGTTTAAGAACATGGGTTGTGGTTGCAGACAGACCTGTCCATGACCCCGTCTTTGCTGCATGCTAGCTATGGGACTTTAGTGGGTATATCAAAGGAGCAATGATGATGCACTATGAGCTTTAAATGAGAAAATGCTTAACATATATGTGACACCTAGTGTATCTTATAAACTATAGTTGGCAATATTGTTATTGTAGTCATGTAATATTTTTTGTCTTACCCTTAGTTCACCTATAAACAATATTTTATAGAAAAACCATGTCATACAAAAGATAAATTATTTTCATTGTTCACTATTTAATCCTTAAATTGTTAATTGGAAATCTTCAAACCATAACATTTCTAGATCAATGAGACTAAAAATTTGTTCTTCAAGCTACTGTCATTCCCACATTTATTAGTTTTAAGAAATAAGGGGGAGACAACAATAGCAAGGTTAAACAGGGCAGTAAACAACAAATGCTGGCAAGGTTGTGGAGAGATTGGAACTCTTATTCACTCCTAGTGGGAATGTAAAATGGTGCAATCACTACGGAAGGCAGTCTGGCACTTTCTCAGAAAGTTGAAAATAGAAATATCATTTGACCCAGCAATTCCACAGCTAGGAATAAACCCTAAAGAAACCAGAGCCACAACTCAAAACAAATGTATGCACATCCATGTTTATTGCTATGTTATTCACAATAGCAAAGAGATGGAAGCCAACCAAGTTCCCATCAGTAATCAAAAGGATAAAAAAATTATAGTACATCCACGCAATGGAATACTATACAGCATTGAAAAACAATGAAATAATAAAACATTACACAACATAGAGGAAGGCTTAGGGACATTATGCTAAGTGAAGTATCTCCATCACAAAAAGGATAAATACTGCCTAACACCACTGTTCTAAAATAGGATGGTTATGGGAGAGGTTTGAGAAGGAATGGGAAAGGCATGGGTAGATAATGAACACCACATTGGAACAGATGAGGGGAAGAACTATTTGAAAGGAATATATGATTATACGTTATATGTATGAGAACAGTCTGGAGCAAAGGAGGTTTTGTTGGGGGAGCTTCTAGAGGAGGGAGAGGGAAGGGGGAGAAAATGTGCAACAATGAATAATTTGAAAAAAAACAACCCACTAAAAATAAGTAGGGCAGGGGAAACCCTGAAACCTAAGAAAATAAAGTGTCTTATTTTCTTTTTATTATTGCTTAAAGAAGAAGAAATTAATGACTTGCTGAATAATAGCACTTGCCTATATGGATAGAATTCTATATAGTATAAGCCAAAAAGTAAAAAAGAAATCAAGGATTGGGGATGATGATATAAAAATATAGGTATAGCTTATGATGAGAGACATAGTATATTAGAGTCCCTGAAAGACACATGGATTCAAAAAAGACTCTTAATTGTCACTAACTGGTGTTTGGCACAACTTGCTTTGAAACAGACACCCCTGAAGGTGGCGGTGGCCGCAGACCCAGCACCTCCGTGGTGAGTTCCGCATCCATGAGTGTGCTTCACAGCTCTTCGCTGCGTGACTACGCTCCTGCCAGTCGCTCTGAAAACCAGGACTCGCTTCAGGTAACCTTCCTTGCCGGCTGGCCTCAGTACCCCTGCTTTTTCTTTGTTTACCCTGGTTTCCTGTTTTCACTTTTATGTCTTTCAGTTTCCTTCCTTCCATTGTAAAATCTTCGTTCCAGAAATTTACTAGAGGAGGGGGAAGGGAATGGGCTGCGAGGAATATGTACAACAATGAATGAATGAATGAAAATCCACCTTTTCTGTAAACTTTCATTAAAATCACAAAATTTTTTTAAAAAAATGTTCTAGAGAAAAAGATTTCTATGACTTTTCCTTTCGTTTAGTATGAGCAAGGGAAAAAATTGTAGTATAAAAAAATAATTCTTCTGTAAAAATAAAAGTAATATTACTACAGTGAAAGGTTAAGCACGCTGGGACTTGATGGGACTAAACTGTTTTCCAGGGTCCCTGGAGCTTTCTGCTGTTGACAGGGTGTCATCTTTTCCTCTTTTCTATTGCTTATTTAAATGGAAAATCGTTGTGTTTTCCTTCTCTGCTAGGTTTCTGCCTTACACAGGTTGTGACTTTTAAAGAGTATATACTTTGTTAGTTTAGTAGAAGAGCAGTGGTAAATGTCATTGAATTAAGTCATTTGCCTTTAGTCAAACTTTAAAGTGATTTTCCTTTCTTTTGCCCAGGCTCTGAGTTCCTTGGATGAAGATGATCCCAATATACTTCTTGCAATTCAGTTATCATTGCAAGAGTCTGGACTGGCCATGGATGAAGAAACTAGAGACTTCCTCAATAATGAAGCATCCTTGGGAGCAATAGGCACTTCTTTACCTTCCAGACTGGACTCAGTTCCTAGGAATACAGAGTCTCCTCGGACTGCACTGAGCAGCTCTGAGCTGTTGGAACTTGGTGATAGCCTTATGAGACTAGGAACAGAGAGTGACCCTTTTTCAACTGACACCCTTAGTTCTCATCCTCTCAGTGAGGCGAGAAGTGAATTCTGTCCCTCATCCAGTGACCCCGACTCAGCTGGCCAAGACCCCAACCTCGATGACAATCTTCTGGGCAATATCATGGCTTGGTTCCATGACATGAACCCTCAGAGTATTGCCCTGATTCCTCCAGCAGCTACAGAAGTCAGTGCCAATTCCCAGCTCCCCTGTGTAAAAGATGGCTCAGAAGTCGGGAGAGATGTGGAACTGGTGCCCCCAGAAGAAGATTCCCTGTTTGAAGATGCTGTTGTTGTAAGTGAAGGTAGAGGACCACAAAGAGAAGAAGAAAATCTCTTAGAGGAAAGTGTTCTGGCTGGGGAAGCAGTGGCTCAAGCTGTCAACACAAGTAGTGAGGCAGCTGACAAGGGAGATGGTTCAGATGCCTCAAGCCAAACCCCTCAAACCTCAAGTGACTGGCTTGAACAAGTACATTTAGTGTGAACTGTGCACCTTTGGGCTCTAGCTGCATCGCAGGTACAGATGGCAGACGAGGTAGAATATGCTTTATAGAGACTTGGATCCTCTTCAGTTAGAACCACTCAGTTAGAAAACACTGACATTAGGATTGACCATTAAGGTGTTCCCTCTAATGGTAGCTTCATTTCTAATTTTTTACTTGCAGGGAATTTCTTTTGTATTTGATTGGATAGGTTTCCCCCCATTTTTGCTTACAAAAAGAAGAGCACTAGAGAAAGAAATAGGAGTAAAACAGGTCTTTTCCACATTCTAAGGAAATGTTTTCTGCTTAGCTGAAAGTTGGCAGTAGGTAAATGTTTAAATTACTGGCTTACTCCTTTCTGCTTGGGTGGTTTCCCTCTTTTTTTTTTAATTGGAGGGAAAGGCAAAACGCCTTCATTTTAGAAGTTCACGTTGACAGATAGGGAAGCATTTAATCCCTCGGTCTTTGTGCCCTTCTATAACTCCTTTTGTCTGAAAAAGTGTGAATTCAGGTGTCCAGTGCTTCTCTTGAGTACTGCATCTAGCGCAGTGTAATTAAATTTCTTTTTCCCATGAAGCCACAGTTTCTCTTCCTGTCTGTTTCCAGTCAAGTTGTGCCAAGCACTGACTGGTGCGCCAACAGGTGTTCAGGTGTGAGGTGTGCAGAGTGCTCTGGGGTCGCTGCCACCATTCTTGCAAGTGGAAGGTGCCACTTGGTAGAATTGATATATCTGAATTTAATGGGCTTTTGTTGCCATGGAGACTGCGTTAAATGTAGCCTGTAGCTTAAGTTAACTAAACCTAATGCTGCTGTTAAAAACAGTTTATTTTAATATTAAAATACAGTTGATTAGCAACAGCGGTGCTGTATTTAAAGAGACACTTTATTGGAAGTGCAATCATAGTTCCTTGTTTTCACAATTTTACAGTGCATTCTAATTCCTATTGGGTGCAATTACTTTTAATGGTGTTTTATAAAATAGAAAAAAGTGGAGTTTTCATGAATTATAGTAAATCCCACAATTATTAAAAAAAAATTCAATAAAACATCTTGCGCAACATGTTACCGTGCCTTTGCCTAACCTAAATGGATAGTTGCCAGTTAAATAAGTAATTGAAATTTCAATGTCTCTTCTAAAGTAACTATGCTATGAATTGCAAAGACCTCCATAAGAACCACCCATGGCCTTGCCTTTACAGTAAATAGAATAAATGTTGAATCCGTTTGTTTGCCTAAATAGCAAATGCTGAGATGTGTTTGTTCTACTGCACAATACTCATTTGCTGTGTTATTACTGTTTAGTGTTGAGGAAAAAAAAAATCAACTTCCTAGTTACCAGTGTCTTACTGTGAAGAAAATACTGATCTTAGTCGTAATTAAGATACAATGGTACAGTGTGTAATTAAAACTAGAGTAAACTGTTGGAATGGCTGTTTTACTTACGTATTATCAAAACTAGCATAACATAAGCAAAGTAGATACACAACACTCCATTTAATGTTTTGCCAGATTGTTACCAGAATTCTACATATACCAAAATTTTAATACCGCATCTGAGCAGGCAAGTTCTGGTCTGAAAAGGTGACTTTAGTACTGATTATATCCATGTGAGTTGTGATTATGATTTTTGGTTACTTGTTCCTAAGCCCTACTTTTGGAATAAATACTCTTGTACTTTGAATTCGTATGGCTAGGACATTATGTTAAAGTAGTTAATATGCCATATGCCCCAGGTTCCCTTAGGACAAATTGTTTGGGAATTGCTCTTATGCCATAGATAACATAAATCCACGTTAGTTTTTATTTTCCCAATTATCAGAAACATTGTTATAAATCCCTGTTGAAGCTAATTGGGGAAAATACTAACTTTGTCTACAGTGTATTACTGTATATTAAAGTGAAATAGTAGTCCATTAAAGGATTTTTTTTACAAATTTATTTTGGATTAAAGATATCAACACCAGTAAGTGTTTAGACCAAATTGTGGCTTTTCAGTAGGAAGATTATTTGTATCACACTGGGCCCCCTTGCCAAGCTGCTTTAAGGTGTGAGAGAGTTTTCGGGCAGTGCGTGTGAGAGGCCTGGTTTCCTAGCACCTTGTGCAGTGGTATCCTTGGTTTCTGTCCTATTCTCTCCTAAGCATGAAAGTAATCACTCTCCAATTTGTATTTCCTGGGTACATATTTTAAAAGCAACATAGTCATTGACTTTACAATTCAGAAATAAAGTTTGGCAAAGCCTATTTTGTAAACAGGTTAATTTTATAATGTTAAAAAAATCCTCTAACCTTGACTTGTTATTTGCACTTTCATAGTCTATACTTGATACATTCCCACTTTATATACAGTAGGATTCTACAAACATGTAGATATTTGGCCAAATGAATGCTGTTAAAAATAATGTGTAAAATATCTTTGATTAAACATTTATTACTTAAACTACTTCCATTTTGTCTCATTACATTATGGACTTTATTTAAAACAAATCAAGAGAACAATTTTATTCAAATTCAGTACCCTCCATGATGATGGGATTCATTTGGTACATGTAATGGATTACCCATTCACATCACTGCTCCTTTTGAGTCGGGTCCAACTCTCAGCCCCCCCATGGGACTTACCAGGCTGGAAATCTTAATGTGAGGAGACTGCCCATTTCTCCCATGGAGCCACTGGTGGATTTGAACTGCTGACTCTTTGGTTAGTAAGTTGCCTGTTATGTTACACACTATGCCACCAGGGGCTCTTATAGTGAATTAGTGCCTAATATTTTTATGTTAGACTATTTAACATTTTATACCCGAGTGGAGCATGATTTGAGTGAGAGAGCATTGTGATTCAAGTGCTCATTTTATTCTCACTCTAATTTTCAGGAGAAAATGTTACATTTTTCCTTGAAACCTGTAATAGAAACACCCTGCAGGAAAATTATTTAGAACAGGAACCTTTTTTTATGCTGAGTTGAAACACCTGTTTTGCCACCCATCCATTATGAAAACTGCCCTCAACATCTGAACTTTTAGTGATTTACACAGATCCCTGGCCATAGGTGCACCTACCACAGAATCCAGGTGTTCCAGTAATAAGCATTTAAAGTCATGTTGTCTTATTTGTGCCTTTCACTGTGTGAAGTTGAACTCAACTACCAATGTCCATATGCTTGATTATTCTTTAAATGTAGTTTATTGCAGTCACTGATTTTGTTTTTCTCCACAAATACTGTCATCTTGTTTTGAATTAAAGTCTGAGATTTAACTGAAGTTTGGTCATAATTTAAAATTAGCCATAGTTAGTATATCTTAAAATATTTAAATATTAAATGTTAAATTTTGGTGTTCTTTTCTCATTTTTTTTGTTTGTTTTGTTGTTTTCACTTCAATGAAAACTTCATAGGAAAACTAATTTAGTGGAACTGGCTTTTGGTCTGAGTAATAGTTTTTTCTCAGTATTGGTCATAGTGGACCTTCTCCATCAGACCAGTATAATACTGCATCATCAAGAGTTATAACCTCTTCACCAGAATAGGTCTCTTTCTTTCAAGATACTTTCCCCCCCCCCATAGACTGTGGCTGACTCTGAGAAAAATGGGAATCCCAGAATACTTGATTGTGCTACTGCGAAACCTATACTTGGACCAGGAGGCAGTCATCAGAACAAAGCAAGGAAATACTGCATGATTCAAAATTGGGAAGGGTGTATGCCAGGGATGTGTCCTGTCTCCATACCTTTTCAGCGTATAACAGATTATTCGGGAGGCTGGGCTGTATGAGGAGAAGTGTGGCATCAGGATTGGAGGAAGATTTATCAACAATCTGTTATACAGATGACACAACCCTGCTTGCTGAAACTGAGAAGCTGAAGTGCTTTCTACAGAGGGTCAAAGAGTCAAAGACTGCAGCCTTCAATATGGATTGAAGCTGAATATCATCAAGAAGACAAAGATTTGAAAAAAAAAAAAAGAAAGATTTTTACCACTGGGCCAATTGGCAGCATCAGGATGGATGGTGAAGAGATTGAGATTGTTTCAGTTTGCTTGGCTCCACAGTTAACACTCTTGGCACCAGCAGCCAGGAAATTAAAAGGTGTATTGTGATGGGCAAGTCTGCTGTTAGGGACTGCTCCAAAGTACTGAAGAGCAGTGGCATCACTCTGGAGACTAAGGTGTGCCTGTGTGCCTGATACAGGCCATGATCTTTGCAGTCACTTGCTGTGCCTCAGAGAGGCAGACAATGGCTAGGGAGGATAGAAGGAGAACTGATGCCTTTGAGCTGTGATGTTGGAGAAGAGTATTGAATATACCATGGACTACTAAGAAAACAAACAGGTTCATTAAGGAGAGGGTTAAATTCAGCTGCTCCTTGGGAGTCAAGGATTATAAGGCTTCATCTGACATACTTTGGACATGTTGCAAGGAGGGACCAGTCCTTGGAGAAGCATGTCATGTTTGGGAGGGTAGAGGGACAGCACAGGAGGGGAAGACCCTCTATGAGGTGGATTGATTCAGTGACTGGGGTAATCGGGATGGGTGTGTCAGAGGCAATGCGATTGGCACAGGATAGAGCAGGGTTTAGGGCTATTGTACATAGAGTCACTATGAGTCTCATGAGGTTGCTGTGAGGTGACTTGACGGCACATAACAACAACGACAGACTACATACAGTACACAAACATCTTTATTTCAGGGAAGAAAGATGGACCAGAAAAATCGCATTTTCTACTTAAGATGTGCGACTAACAGACTGCATAGTAGCTAAATTATTTTTAATTAATTTTAATAGTAACTAAGTTGTGAAGAGAATTCTTCATTCTTAAAAACTAACATTGAAAATACCTACACCAAGCTCCATATCATCCATTAGCCAGTTACTAAATATTGCATGGGGGCCTCGTGTGCACAAAACATCCATTTACAAACATGATGAGACCTGGGCAGAACAAATATGTTTCTCTGGTTTGAGGGAAGAGGATCTTCTTGGGCTTCTGTGTTTCTCCACACTGTTTGGCATCCATCCAGGTCCAGTGCATTCCACCTGTACAACTAGGGCACGGGAGGCTGATGCAAATTGGCTGATGTTTTTGCTGACGACGGTACCAGGGCTCAGGTAGAGAGGAAATGCCCATGATTATGACTGGCCTCCCCACAGCACCCTAGGCTCCCCACTCCTTGGTTGTGACATTTTGATCTGTTGCTCTAAGGCAAAAGGATTTGGCCATGGTTTATAGTGAGGACATGAAGCAAAAATGACCTAGTGAAGAGAGTTCATTGAAATGTTGTGATTTTATTACATATAATATATGTAGATCATACATAATGGTAGTGATGTGTTAGGTGCTTACATTCTCCTATATCAGAATTGTCAGTGGCGGTTCTCGCATTC